TGGTGTTACTGACGATGTGCTGAGCCCTTTGGACCATGCTAGTGCAGTGAATGCTGACCGAATACACTTTTGTGTTCAAGATGGGGACATGGGGTGCGGGCCTGAGAATATAGTAATTACGGTAGTACTAATAGTAGACGGCATCGCTCAGGTCATGCATTCCTCGTTTCTTTCTTGGCGTGACCTGGTGACCCAACGGCCACTTGAGCTACCGACCCCAGCCATGCCAGATACAGAACCGTGCCAGACTTCACTGACTTCAGCCTCGGTACAGTGTATCGGGGTCGGGATGGACACGGCCACCTTGGGCACTAGGTCTACATTACTCTACTGTGCATGTGTGTCACAGTGTGAGCTAGCCTGAGCCTGAGGGCCCACTCCACGCGCGCAGATACTACTCAGTCACACATGTACTGCATCTTCTAGGCTATAATTATCGTTCGTTGCATTGTGTAACACTGACCAGTGATCACCCATACCCCAGTAACACCCTTACCACTCGGGACAAGCGGAACGCGTGTGTGTGCGTGTACATGTGTGCGTGTGTGGGATCAAAAGTGAAGAAGTGTGACTGCGGACCAGGAATGCAGGCGCAGTCAGTGATACTTTACCTGCCGCCATAGTTCAGGTAATTGCCGTGGTATCCCACACAGGATCTCTGTTCTACGCCCAGGCAGAGAAACCAAACCCTAAAGCTGTTAAAAAGTGCACGACCATGACTGTATCCCCGTAGCTTCTCCTACTGCCAATGACTATGCCTTTAGGCTCTACGACCAATTATGGTTATGAGTGATACATACGTACACACGTACATACGACCATGGTGTTCGGGCCACACAATGGCACACATGCGCAGTATACTAGTCAGTAGATCTACTCAGGACATGTCGACAGTAGCCTAGCCAGTGCGTTACGTATCCGATTACGGATTAGATCACGTCAGCAAGATCTAACGCATAGCGCATACTGTAGACCTACTTCATTTTTTTTTAGTACTTGATACAGACCTGATGATCCTGAGTCTAGTACAATGTAGTACATTGTAGTAATACCTGATACAGACCTGTAGCCGGCTGTACTGTACAACTAAAGTACAAGGCTGTAGTGTAGTGTGGGCTGTGACCATGGTGACTGGTGCCGGTACAGTGTTGGTCGACTCGGGACTCGGGACTCCCGGAGTCGCGTCGGTAGGTCTACACCGTCGTGTGGCGTCGACTGAGATCATCAGAATATCATTCTGAATAATGCAGAGCGACCAGTGGACCTACCACCAGTGCACCGGGCACCGGCCGAGGCTGGACTCGTACTGAGTCGTAGAATCATGACTGTGTTACTTGGGTCGTTGGGAGCTGGACTGGACCTGCTAGTACTACAAAAAAAGGTGCTGGTACTTGGATGGCTACAACAATGTCAATGACAATGTGGCTATGCACTGATCAAGCGCTACATGACATTGTATTAGTTACAACAGTACTGTACTTGTCTTGTACTTGAACTTAAAGCATCAGGCTGCTGTGCGGTAACATACATGACGACGTGGAAGCTGAGGGACCAGGCATTATTGTCCCTGCATGCTGCCTAGTACAGTGTAGTAGTACTGCTTCTTCAGTATGTAGTGCGGACTACACAACATACATAAAAACAGACTCGGCGGCAGCAGCGCTCTTGACTGTGTGAAGTGAAGCACTGAAGTGACGCACTGAAGGCAGAGATTGCTCAGATTAGTGTGCGCGGCCGTGGCGTGGAGCGTGTGCGATCAGATCATCGCTTCGCATTACTACCGCGGTACTGCAGTCGTTATAGAGCTAGAGTCTAGAGACAGTGGAGGACACTCTAGAAGATATTGCTCAACGGTAAAAGCGACGGTACCATCAGGCATCACTGCATCTGACTCTCAGCACAAACTAACACAGGGAGAGAAGTGTCTGCAACTAAGTATAGTTGGTAACAGTTGCTAGCAGTCAAACAGCAAGCGGAGATCAGGTTCGCTCGCCTCCCCGTTTCCTATCCGTGTGTCAAATCGCTAGCTTCCGTGCAGTTTGACCTCTTCCAAGATGTTGCGAGGATTTATCCTTCTCCTGTTCATCCTTAGCTTTTTCTGCGGCTTGGCGTCGCTATTCGGCAACGACTGGGCGAGTATACGGCGAGAAGGCCAGACGGTTACGCTAGGGTTATGGTGGGAATGCAGACAGATCAATACCAACAACACGATGAGCCTCACGTCGGTGACTGGCGGTGGAACAGGTTTCGAGCTGTGCCTCAACTACGGCCTCGACGGTGAAGGAGTTGAAAGTAAGTAGTTCGCACCTTTCGCGAAATTCGCCTGCTGTCCGCACCTCCCGGGCATGATGCGTGCGAGCCACTCTCCTGGCTCAGCATGCTGTGTGAAAAGAGCGAATGTGAGCGATCATGTTGAGTGCGAATCTGCATGCAATGATTGTGATTGTGGGTAATGTTGCTAGGTTGTGGGTTGAGGGGAAGAGAGAAAGAGAATCGCGCGCGTCTATCAGACTGAGTCTGTAGTGTCTTTTCCCGCTTCTGTGCCGCGAGTGGCGCTCATTTGACGTGATCGCCGATGGTTGGTTTCCTACAGCTAGTCACGTATGTATTGACCGAAGAGTGAAGAATAGATGTACATGTGCATGTGCAAAACTGTTTTCCCAGCGCATTGTTGTGGTGTTGAAATGAACAAACGGTAAAACACACCTGCCTGGGCACACGCACTTCACTGTGCCAACGTCTTTACTTAGCTTCCAGTTCTCCACTTCTTCCGGTTGTAAAACACCCCCTACAACCGTTTCACTGTAGTACGGTTTGAAAGAGGACTGAGTCTGCGTCCCCCTTTTCTCGCACGCCTGTAGAGTACTAGGTGGCAACTCGCTCGTCAAGCAAAAGTGTAGACCACATACGATCGTTCGTGTTGGGCTCCTTGTTGTTGTGTTTGTGACTTCGAAATGAATGTGTTCTAGTAACCCACGCTACTTCGACACCCCTCTCAGGGCCCTCTGATACGCCGCCGTGTAACGATCCCACTCGTGTGTTACTTGTTACTGTCATCGCCTCCTGCGCCGAACAAGCTACTTGCGCGAGCTCTAGTAACAAAGTAACAGCTGCACCGTGTACCATGCGTATCGTGAACAGCTTTACTCGTACTCTAGTAAATGTTTTCAGTTTTTTTCAAAAGTAGTTGTGTATGCTTACTATGCTGCTGCTACACTGCAATGTCATGTAGTCGACGACGATTGAATTTGTAAACAAATATAGAGAGCATGAATCGCGCATAAGTGCGTAGCAGGTCTGCGAGTATGGCCAGGAGAAACAGCTCAAGCAATCACCACTGCACGGTTCGACTTGGTTCCTTGCTAGCAAGGCTAGAGTTCAGTTTCCCGCTGTGTTCTTTTTTTTAGGTTTGCGCAATGATTTCGAAGCTCAGTGAGATCTGATTCGTCTTCGCCAAAGCAGAGAAGGATTCTGGAGAGATTTGGAATAGTTCCTGTAGCAACGGGTGTCTACGTCCTTGCACCCGTAGTTGTTTGAATTGTAATTTGCCAGGCGACACACCCTGGACCTACTACACGTGTCGCCGTGGTCCAATAGGGCTTGAAAGTGCTACGTCACAGCATAGCAACAATTTCAAAAATTCAAAAATTGGATCCACTTGGATCCAGGTTTTGTATGGATCCAAGCACATTTCAAGCGGTCTTACTCACAGCAAGGTGATGTAGCCAGTGAAACTGACTGATTTGGCTAGTGGGGGCGGGGTGACAACTGGTGGCGAAGTAAAAGTCACACCTGCATACGACATGAGTGGGTTGCTATGCACCCACATACTGAGGCAATAGCAAAGTCACACCTTAGTGGATCCAAAAGTAGAAAGTTGATGTGAACTTACTACTCCCTGGCCGTTTTGACGTCATCACTTTCAAGCCCTATTGCGAATGCTGTGGCATGCTATGAAACGAAGCGCCTCTCGTAGCATAGCTAGCTCCCTTCAAGACTCTTGTCTGTATTGTCGTGAAATCGAGGGACAACTTTCAGCCACTTGAGCAGAAGTGGCCACGACTTTGGGCGGATAAATACCATGGATGATTTACTCCGACACGCACTCCGCGTGCACGCGTGGTGGTAGCGCCCTCCCGGTATGCAGCTAAATCTGCGGGCCAGAGTCCGCAGGTGACGCTGGCGAATGGAACTAGGCCTGTCCCTGGCTTCGGACGCACTTTCATCGTTGGTGGTACGGATAAGAAACAATAATTGACGCCGTAGCCCGAAGACTGGGTTTGTCCTTGATCCTATTCGCCCTCACTCATGTCTGCATTTGTATCCAAAAGGCATGCATTGTGCAGTTTGTGGAGCATGACTGGCGAGTGGCGACCTTGGAGGCTCTGGATTTCAGACGATAAAACGTCTGCAAGTCTTGGGGTCCTTCTCCCGATGTGATCCACGTGAAAAACCGCCTTGGTTCATGCCTCCTTTACATTGCCACTGGTCTTCAGCAGAGATTTCAGACTGAGATTCGAGAAGGGAAAAGATGCGTTCAGTGACTGTTTGCTTGGTAGCTGTAGGACATGACACGAACTGCAAGACTCCGAGGTGAAATGACCTACAAATCAATCGTATCATGACTATCGGGTAGGTTTTGTTTCTGTGCACATGAAAATGAAATGGGCACTCCAAATAATGTAGCCCCGCATGTCATGGTAGATCTACATGACAGTCAGTGTACATAATTCATTGTGCATACAGTCAACTAAAAATGTTACTTCGCTTATAACGACATTCGGCGGGGCATCAGAAAAGTGCCCCGCGCGAAGTGTCGTTATACCCCAAGAGCCATTGTATGTATTCCAGTTGGATGGGACTTTGCTGTGGGCATGGAAATTCTGTGGTTATTCGCGAATTGTCGTTATATCCGCAGTCGTTATTAGCGAAGTTGACTGTATGTACCAATACTCCATGATGGCGTTTTGCCACGGGATCCCGGGAGAGAGAGAGAGATAGTGCCAGTGCTGTCACACTGTTTCACGGTGCGTGTACCCAGTAGATCTACCCGGCGTAGGATCTTTGTGAACACCATCAGCATCATCTGGGGCATATCGAGTCCGGCGTTGGGGGCATTGGTTTTGCTACTCCATACAAAGCAGATACAATGTTGATGATACAGTCATGTGTAGTCTGGGTTCTATCTCACATGCCACTGGTACTCAGACACCACTACAATTACTATTGTTAATATTGAGTTGCTTCACTGATAAGTAATTTAGTTGTGGTGGTGGTGTGTGTGTATGTGTGTGTGTGGGGGGGGGGGGGGGGTGCTCACAGATAACAAGTAGAATCACTATTGTTTGTAACATGGACATTGTGGGCACAAGTTATGCGATCCAGTCCACCAACTAAACTAAACGGGCCAGATTTTGTACACTCAGACGTGCACAATCTAGCTAGATTGTGCAAGCTAGATTGAGCACATCTGACTGTTCAGAATCTGGATTAGTTGGTGGACTCGATCGCATAACTTGTGCCCACAATTTCCATGTTACAAATTGTTTTCTTCCTTCCCTCACCATCTGAGTTTTTAATTATTATTATTATTATTGTTGTGCAAATTGAAACTCGATTAGTATTATGGTTAAGTTGAAGTGTTTTGTCAAATACCTTTTCCTGCATGTTGCTGTTGACCTATTGCTGAGTGGATTGGGCCCTGTGAAAAGCTTATGACCATCCTAATCATTCCACAATCCCTCCCCAACTGAAGGGTGAACTGGTCTCATGTTGACCAGATTCAGGATTTAGGACATTTATAAAAACGGTACTGACAGAGAGTATGGCATTTTAATGAATGATTGAAGGTACAGACAAGTGGACATTCCAGCACACATGATTGTCCTAAGTGCACAGCATGTATAGAGGAGGAGAACAAGCCACATTGCATTGTGTTAGAGAAAGGGGGGGGGGGCTGCTGCCTGGTTGCAAAGGCTAGCTGTCTATGCATGCAGATTCTTCCCATGACGTCATGATACCAGAGTGTGCTAGTACTGGTCCCCCAAGAAGGAGGCATGTCTAGAAAGCCATGCTCAGTGCATTTAAATTATTTTGTTGCCTGTGTGTGTGTGTGTGGTTGTATGACTTCATTGCAGCTCGTGTACTCCTTACTCGGTGGATAGCCGTCGGCGGACTGGGTATTGGCATTGTGACGTTCCTGCTGCTAATCCTGGCCGTGCGGGAGGATGCTCTTGACGAGGAGGAGAAGGGCAACGCGTGCAGCAGCAACTTTCTCATTGTGTTCTGGCTGACGCTGCAAGGTATGTGCGCCGACCGGTGCTTGGTGTAGTGTGTGTGTGTGTGTGTGTGTGTGTGTGTGCGTGCGTGCGTGCGTGCGTGTGTGTGTGTGCTCGAGTATCAAATGATTTGTTGCTGCGGTAGTTCACCGTCGGTTGCTGCCTGTTTTGATACAATGTCATGTATTTTGTGATGGTGGATTACGTGCTGGCCTATACATGTACTTCGAGTAGTGCAGCTGAGTGTGCAGCTGAGTGTGCAGCTGTGCAATGACTCTGCTGCGTTTCCAACCATGTCCGCGGTACAGTGGACGCCTGCACCGGACGGTAGTAGGGCCCCGGGATACTCAGCAGCACCGTTTTGCTCACTAATACTTCACTCCGTTGCTATTGCTGTAGCTCTGGCAATGCCCACATTAGGCCCGTCGGAACGGGCCCAGTAGGTCTGGTAATCACCGGACCACATAGTTGGCCTCCAGCATGTGTTTACTACTGTGGAGGGCATGTGACTACTAGTACCCGTCGTATCGTACACAAAGTGTGAAAGGTCATGTTACTGCCGGACCAATCGAACATTTCTTCCGGCGGTCCTGTATATGCACTAATACTTCACTCTGTTGGTATTTTTGTAGGTCTGGCTATGGTTGCATCACTGTCCTCCTACTCGCACTACTTTGTCAACGATCTGAAGGACATGGACTTCAGCCTGGGCTGGGCGTTTGCCATCGGCTGGGCATCGGCCGGTGTCTTCCTGCTCAGCGGCTTCATTCTAACGCTAGGCGCTTGCCTGACTGGCGACTGTCGGTGCAGCGACGAGGAGGAATAGTGAGTAGACAAACGGATGATGATTTGAGTACATAGGATTATATGACGCCCGCTATGCAGTCACCAACACCCCAGCACCCCAACGGGTCAATGCCAATGCAGTGGACTGGTTTCAATGCGGCCAGGAACAAAAGCAAGTGATGCGCTGAATGTCAAACCCGAGTTGCTCGGGAGAACACCGAATCGATGCGCACGCACGCACGCCCACACTTTTATTATTGTTTCACGACGCCTGAAGATGTTTGCCGCATTTCTCGGTGAAGCGCAGGTGCATGCTTTGATTGGATCTGCCCTCTTTCTGCTGCATACTGTGAATATCGGAGAGACAACTGGCTGTGCAGAGAAAGTTTGCAAAGTCTACATTTACGATTGCACGTGATGTCTGATATAATACTTCACAGTACACTGAAGTTCATGGTTTTTCATTTTAAAATCGAACATGAGTGCATTGTGCACCATGGGCGTTCGTGTCATTTCATTTTTTTGTTTTGCTGCGGTACTGCAAGCTGTGTGCTAAGTAATTAATTAATCAGAGTCACTATTGCTCAAACTATTCCCAAGTGGAAGTGTAACACGGTGAAATCATGGCGCATATCACATGACGTTGTACAGTATTACTATTAGCTGAGTATTAGGTACTTTCAAGATTCTACACACACTCCATAGCACTGGCCATTATGAGGTATATAAGGTTACACATTACAACAATCCTTTTCTAATTATTGCAGTCCTTCCCAGATGTTTTCATTGACTCATGATTGCGAGAATTGTCGGCTTCTGTATCAAAATTTATTCTCCATAGTTGTTCTACGATATGTTGTGTTCTTCCAACGATGTGTGTGCGGGGTGTGTGTGTGTGGGTAGGGGGGTGCGTGCATGTGGTCGACATGTGTGTGTGTGTGTGTGTGTGTGTGTGTGTGTGTGTGTAAATGGTGTTTTGTATTTATGCCATGATTACCATGCACAGCATCATGCATGATCTAGCTTTCCAATATTTGCCCCCCAACAAGGCTCTTCTCGTCTTTAGGAAATGGATGTCACTTCAGTGGGTTCTGTTGGCTTCCATTCGTTGTGTGTTTTGTTTGATTGAGATCAGGGTTACTACTCACTGAACGAGACACGTACACAGCAGTAGGGACTGTGGCTATTGAGCACATGGCCATGTTCTGGTGTATTAATAGGCTTATCTGAGTACACTGTATCATGCTCGTCCCCCCCCCCCCCCCCCCCGCACCCAAGCCAAGGCCCATGCATCATCATGGGCATGGTCCGGGCAATGTATGGACGTCACGTGATTGCTAGTATTGTACTCCAGACATTCATTGTACCAACCAAGAGTCCATAACCCTGGGGTTATGGGCTCTTGATTGTACATTTACTATCCACTTGTGCGCAAGAGTTATGTCCTCTTGATGGGTGTCTATGACCGGCCCATTAATAATTTATAATATTATTGGGGCACTCCGGCAGAGTCCGTTTTGGACAGGTCATGTGCATGTGCATATGTACCAGTAGGCAGTACAGTGACTGCATGCCTACACACGGGTGACACGGGCCAGGCATGCCAATAATGTGAGGAATTCTATTGAGCTATCACAGTATCAGGCGTTGAGCACTTGCCGGACCACTCACTCGATTTTTGTTCTGTGGAGCAGCAGTGCACATGGCTGCGTTTCTATCGATTGTGTCAAGCAAGACGAGGTCGGATGGGCCGACCACGCGCAGACACATGTGGTACAGAAACTGTTGAACCACGGAGGAGGCGTGACCTGTCAAGTGTACTGTCATGTCTCTCGCGGCCCGGGACTTTCTTGGGACGACAAGCAGCGATCAGTTTTATCTTTTGCAATGAGTAGTATGATCAATGCTAGCTGTACATGCACATGTACAATGCATATCAGGCAATGACAAAAAAGAGTGAGCTATGAGAGCACACTGGTGGTGGTGAGGCGTGTTGCCCTCAGCTGACTCGGCCTGGGGTTCGGCATCATGGAGACAGGAAACGCATCAAGACCAAGAGAAGTTACTGTACAGCAGCAGAAAGTGAAAGAAATATGTTAGGAGTACAGACTAACTACAGTCTACAGTAGAAGGAGTGCGAATAGGGCAGCAGTATTCCTCGGTGGACTGTGATGACCACGTTTCGGGCCCAGAAACCCTGTTGGTTGAGCTTTGCCTTTGGGTCGCGTTCATCTCTTCCAGCGTCTCACAAGCGGTGGAGATGCATGGGGTGTATTATGTACAATCTCACATCATGATTGTAAAATCATGTACTTGTACATGTATGCCCAGGATTGTATCCAAATTCCAACGGTGGGTGGTGCCTGGTGGATAACTAACAAACTAATTACTTATAAGTTATGAGAGATTTGATGACTCAGTCTGCGGACAATACGAGTACTGTCTCGTCCTTCCTAAATGACGACAACATGTTGCGTGTCGACCTTAGGCTTAGGCCTTGTGGCGTGAGCTGAGATCATTGCCAAAATGAACACCGGTGTCGGATATTCGTACATGAGTATATCTACATCGTGTCCTACCGCCGGTATATTATTATACATAGTATACCATGGTATACTAGTACCACCGTTACTGACTTGCTGGCAACACTACACTGTCACAGTGTAGTGTCACTACACTATCTACAGTGAGTCTACACCAGGGAGTCGTAGATACGACTCCCTGGTCTACACTAGACTACAGTCAGTCTGCAGACTAAAACTAAGCCATCATATCACGGCATCAGGTCATGTAAGTAGACCTACAGTACTACAGTAGGGCGACGGCTGCCGGACACAGTCAGTGCCAGTGGTTGGCCGCTTCAACAGTCAATCAGAAAAGGCAGGATGCCGAGCTAGGATGGTTGACGGTGCAGCAAAGTCTCCAGGGCTAGGGGGCGACTATTTCAGTATTTTGTGTTTCAGAGTTTGTTCATTGAGCAGGAATCATTGAGGTCGTCAATTGACAAAACAGCACCTGTCAGGCTTCACTCGGATCTCATTCATCCCACGATGAATCTTCACCTGTGCAGTTCGGCTCAGGGATGTCAGCTGTGACTCGCTGCGTGAAATGTAGTGACCCGAGCGAAGTCATCGATCTGCCACTCGCTCGCAATGCAGGGACTTCCCTTGTCGGTGGGGTTTTGCCAGGTCAGATGATGTCAAGCCCAGTGTCGGAAAGATTAGATTTGAGAAAGCTGCTGAAGAAAACGTCTCCCACTGTCTTGTTGTATCGGTTCGAGTCTGCAGTACTGGGAATCGTGAGTATGAGAAGACCTTCACACGAGCTCTAGCTGCAGCGAGCCGTACATCACGACGTCGACCGCTGAGCTCCTCGAACTCGTCGCACGGAGTGGAGTCGAAGTAAGTGTACTCGTATGAATGGAAAATAAAAATTAATAATGATGTTCTGAGTTATGGCGGGCTAGCGTGCAGGTAGTGTGAGCTGAGGTTGTGCATATTATTGGTGCAACCATGATAAACATGCACAAACCTTTGCGGCCTCCCCTAGCCCCCTTCAACCTGGTAACAACTTTGAACACCATCTTGCTACCAATCAAAGTGACCAGTACTTGAACTACCGGTATGAAGTGGATCCCGGATGGATGACTGGCCCACATGTAGTCGCTGGAAACGGCAACCGGCTATTGGTAACGGGTGTTTACAGTCATGGTAACCGTAGCAACCGTCCAACTAACATGTTACTTTAACAGTTTTTAGGTTAAGCAAGATACACGCAAGTGGGAACATTCAACAGTTCACACAATACTGACAGTGATGAGGTATTGACATTCAACGACCTGATGCTTAGCGCCCGATCACGTCTCGAATGCGCAAACAGAAGCCTTCTAACTCGGAAGGTTCTCGGACATGAAATAATACCGTAAGGAAAGGGGGGGGGGGCGCACCAGTAACTCATCAGTCAGTATTATGTAAATTGTTGCACATTCTGACTCCCAAGTATCATCCCTATAATTGTAAGTGTTGGACAAGCCACGGTTAAAAAAACTTTCTTAATTTTAATCCGATTGGCTCACCATCTGAGTTTGTTTAAAATCATTATCGGTATCATTTTCTGGTCAATTTGTCTATGTACATAACCCGGGCTACTTGTCCAGAGATTTAATGACAGATATCTTCTTATCTTGCTGCTGCTGTGTCCACTGCTGTTGGAAAACATAGCGTTCAGCAACCGACTGTTCTGATTCAGCGACACACCTAGACTGGAGAAGCATCGGTCACTAGCAGCGGCCACGCCATGGCGCGACACACTCTACACATACTAGTTTTCGTTATTTGTGCTTGCCTCAGCGTACCATCATCTGCCCAAGGTATGGGAGCTATGATTACCCCCCCCCCCCCCCCCTGACGACCTTCACATTCATACTAGTGCTGATTCAGGTAGCATTTTCTCCAGGTATTGGGTTTGGTTAGTTTTCCACGGGTACCTGATCGGGTAATGTTTTCATGGTAACACCACAATGCACCCCTTCCCTTACACACTGGGTAGACATGCAGAGTATTACATAAATTTGTACACGTGCACGGCACATGTCATAATTATGATGTCATCTGCAACTTCGGGTTTTCGGGTACTGTTCTGTACCCGAGTACCCGAGGTCCTCACGGGTAGCACGGGTACCCGACTACCCGTGCGCACCTCTAATTCATACATTCATTATTTTTTTTGATGAGTTCGATAAAAGGCTTTAAAAAAGCACCTAAGCCGTGCTTTTATTGGTTTCATATTGAATTCACAGTTCCTGAACAGTCGAGTTTTAGTCACTGTTGCTGTGTGTGTGTGTGTGTGTTTGTGTGTGTGTGTGTGTGTCCTTGCAAGCCGCAGTGTTAAATGGTGTAATCCCAGTACAAGTTGCTATGTCTAACATAGCTGTTCGCTATCATCGCTTCCGCGATGGGCAGGTCTGAGGTCTGAGGTGTGTGTGTGTATGTGTGTGTGTGTGTGTGTGTGTGTGTGTGTGTGTGTGTACGAGGCAAGGTACAGCCGAGCGAGGAGGCACTGAAAACGCGTCGACTTCGCTGATTCGGCCATGTTCCTTGAATGGATGACTCCCGTATGCCAAAGTGTGTCCTCTTCGATGAACTGGACAAGACTGGGCCACGCCATGGGCCCCGGAAGCAGTGGCGGGACAATGTTGTGTCCGACATAAAGGACCGCCAGATAGTGGACTGGTACGACCTCGCCCAGGATCGCATACCATTCCTCCGACCGAGCCCGTCACCTTAGACTTAATTTGCACTTGTGGAAAGCGCTATCGCCGTCGCCAGGACTTGACTTTCCACGCCCGATTCTGCTCGTGACTTGAACACTGTTAGTCCCTTCGGGACCTGCTATCACCTCCGGACGGGCATATTGTATTGTATTGTGTGTGTTTGTGTGTGTGTGTGTGTGTGCACGTATGTGTGTGTGTGTGTGTGTGTGTGCGTGTGTATATATGCGTGTGTGCATTGGATCCAGGTCCACCACCGGCGCCATGTCCCATCACACGGTATGCAGGTGTTGGCTTCAAAATGTTTCACCTGCGAGAGACAGGGCACCAGATCGTACTGTATTTCTGCTCCCGGCAACGGGAACTGCGTGGCCTGGGCTACCGAGTATGTGAGAACGGAGAGTGGAGTGATCTGGGACTCAAACCGCGCTGCGAAAACCCAAGTGAGTAGTCGCAAACCGTACAACAGAATATGTGTGTCTGTGTGTGTGTCTGTGTGTGTGTGTCCCATATGGTGCAGTGGTATGTGCAGCGATTTCCAATCGAGAGGTTGCGAGTTCGATTCCCGACGATTATGGTCACACGCGTCTCATTCTAAGACCCCTCCTGACTTTTCTTTCATTCTCCTGGGTGGTTACCAACAGCCAGTGCATGCCGGAGTATGTGGTGTGATGTGTGTGCGGGAAAAAAAATGAATGAAAAAAAGACCAAAAAGTAGGGATTCACTGGCCCGAAAAAGCCACTTAGCCCCATCCCTCACACAAACAAGTCAACAAAGAGGCATCTTTGGATTGAGGAGTGCTGGTTTCGAAACAACTGGTTTGAAGCTCAAAGTAGAGCTGGTGTTAGCTCAGAGTGGAGCTGCAGTTAGCTCATAGCAGAGCTGATGTTAGCTCAGAGCAGAGCTGGTGTTAGCTCAAAGTAGAGCTGCTGTTACACGTAGCTCAAAGTAGAGCTGCTGCTAGCTCAAGGTAGAGCTGCTGTTAGCTCAAATTAAAGCTGCTGTTAGCTCAAAGTAGAGCTGCGGTTAGCTCAAAGCAGAGCTGCAATGCTGAATGGATGTAATATAGCGCAAGGCAGAGCCGCAGCAAATAGCTAGATAACGCCAGTTGTGAGAGTGGACCCGATTAGTGGGTGCAATAATTATAATGATGGTGTGAATAAGTTGGATAAGGAGGGATGGTTGGAAAAGAAACACTGCTGAAGCACGATCCGGTGTCTGGAAGAGCACAACAGGGCAAGCAAGATTTGTTTGTCTTTTCAGCAAAACGGGCGGGTGCCATTTGTGATTACGCAGCAAAAACAAAGCGCATGACGTCAGTCTTGAATGCAGTACAAAGCAATGCAGTGCAGTGTGTGCGCTAGTTCGGATTGTTGCTAACAAGTACTAGCACAGCCAGTACACCATTCATAGCTGTGTAGTGTAGACCAGGCTGAATAGTGGCGGTCAATTCTTCAGCCTTGCAAGCTGTTGAATGGTGCAATCCCAGCACAAGCTGCTATGGCTTCTGCCGTAGCATCGCTATCATCGCCTCTGGCGATGGGCGTCCAATGGTCCAATGGTGTGTGTGTGTGTGGGTGTGGGTGTGTGTGTGTGTGTGTGTGTGTGTGTGTGTGTGTGTGTGGGTGTGTGTGTATGTGTGTATTGTAGTGTTATCTTGTATGTGTGTGTGTACCCATTGTGCATGCTCGTTTCTCTTATTTGTACTCTTCTCTTTATAGATGTCTCATGCACCGTAGTGTACCCTCTAGTACTCTACTAGATCCAGATATGGAGTACCCGCGACTGTCTTGCTGTATGATGTGTCTTTCACGACTATTTGTGTTCTTGCACTGAAAATGAAAAGGGTTCTTTGCCTCACAACGAGACCGTGTTGACTTGGTATTTTCGTGTGCTCTCGACACGTATTAAGGACGTCGGGAGAACATTACATGGTGGCAGCGCTGGGATTTCCTCTTTGACAGGATGGCGACAGGCGTTTCGAACAACCCTGTTTCCACTCCCACAACTACCTCCATCACGGTTTCCTCAGGTCCAAGTAATACTACGACTACTAGTAATGCTGGCTCGTCAGGAGCAGTCACTGTCTCGAGTGTTGGTCAAGCTGCACCCTCTGTCGTTTCCTCCGCGGCTGGGCTATCCCTCCCCACGGTATCATCTCTGGGTCCCGTGGCACCCCAGGTTCCGTCGATGATCCACCTTACCCAGGTAGCTCCACCAGCCCCATTCGACTTCAAGTCCGCTGATGTGTGGGAGAAGTGGAGCAAGCGATTTACGAGATACAGGCTCGCCTCGGGTCTTCATATGCAGGCACAGTCCGTGCAAGTAAACTCTTTGTTATATTCGATGGGCGACGAGGCTGACGACCTCCTACTGAGTTTCCATTTATCAGACCAGGATGCGGACAACTACGACATCGTATTCCAGAAATTTTCAGACCATTACGGCAGGAAACGCAATCTGGTGTACGAGCGTGCGAAATTCCACCAGAGGGCCCAACAGCCCGGAGAGTCGATTGATGGCTACATAACTGATTTGTTTCGTTTGGCAGAACGTTGCAGCTTCAAGCAGCTCCACGACGAGATGATCCGTGATCGCCTTGTTGCAGGAGTTGCAGACACTGCCCTGTCCCAGAAACTGCAACTGGACCCATCTCTTACACTGGACAAAGCTCTGGCACAAGCTCGCCAGAAAGAGACGGTTCGAACACAACAGTCTACGGTCCGTCACAGTTCGTCAGCTGGTGCAACTCTTCACCAAGTCCACGCTTTCGAACAGCAGCATCACTCTGCATGTGAGTCGTGTACCTGTGCACTGGAGCTGAATGCACTTAGCATGCGACCACAATCTCACCAAGGTGTGAAACATCCGGCCCAGTACAACCACGATTCAACTGGTCATGCTTCACAGCCCCGCAGTACACACAGTTACAGTGGTCATCCTCGCTCAAGTCAGTCTGCACCCAGGCACAGCTCTGGCATTGATCAATCTAGTACCTGTCACTGGTGTGGTAAGGAACGCCATGCACGCACTCAATGCCCAGCTCGGCAGGCCAAGTGTTCATTTTGCGGCAAGATTGGACACTTTGCTGTTGTTTGTATGCAGAAGCACACTAGTAGCTCTCAGTCTGCCTCCAACACCAGTCACATGCATAGTCTGCAGTCCTCTGCTGCTAGCTCTGGTCCATTACAGTCTGCTGACCAGTGGCACTATCCTCCAGCCTACCTAGGTGCATTGTCCGCTGATACTGGGTGGTCTATGCCCATGCTGCTGCAGTCAGTGCCAGTTACAATGAAGGTCGACACTGGTGCAGACGTAACTGCCATCCCAGCCAGCTTATATGACGACATATCTGCTCACCATCAGCTCAGCCTCCAGGAATCCGACCGTACGCTGAAAGGTCCAGACAACGCAACTCTAGCTGTTTCAGGCCGCGTCACACTCAGTATCTGCCGTTCTGCATTTTCCGACTTTGCAGTAGACACAACAGTGTACGTGGTACCGCACCTGAAAACACCTCTGCTCGGCCGGCCAGCAATCGAAGCCCTACATATCTTCAGTCCGCCAGCAGATTTGCTCAGCGCAACTACCGGTACGTCTGAGCAGTCCTCCGTCAAATCGCAGTACCCTGAGCTCTTTGCGGGAGTTGGTTCGTTTGGCAGCGAGCACACGATTCGGCTGGTCGATAATGCACAGCCTTACTCTCTGCCTACACCACGCCGTATCTCTCTACCGATGGAAGCCAAAGTTATCGAAGAACTGCAGGCCCTCGAACAGAGTGGTGTCATTCGCAAGGTAACTGAGCCAACCGATTGGTGTGCCGGTATGGTAGTGGTTCCTAAACCCAACGGTAACGTGCGCATCTGTGGCGACTTTACCCGACTCAACCAGGCTATCCGACGGGAACGTCACATCATGCCAACAACCGATCACCTGCTTGCTCGCCTCGGCACAGCCAAGGTCTTCTCGAAGCTGGACGCGAACAAGGGCTTTCACCAGATCCCCTTGTCGCTGGAATCTCAACTGCTAACAACATTCATTACGCCCATCGGTCGTTTCTGCTTTCGACGACTCCCGTTTGGCATCTCCTCTGCACCTGAGTACTTCCAGAAGCAGATGTCTGACCTGCTGAGCGACCTGCCAGGCACAATCTGCATGATTGACGACGTTCTAACCTTCGGTGACGACGAACACGAGGAGGAGAAGAATCTGCATGCAGTCCTGCAGCGTCTCTCATCAGCCGGAATCACACTCAACCCAGACAAGTGTGCTTTCCAACAACGTTCAGTCAAGTTCCTGGGACACATCCTCGACGACAACGGCATCCACCCTGATCCCCAGAAAGTGCGCGGCGTTCAGGAGCTGAAACCCTGCACGGATGTCCCAGCAGTACGTCGTTTCCTTGGCATGGCGAATCAGCTGGGAAAGTTCGTACCGGATCTAGCAACGATGTCCCAGCCACTGCGTGCTCTCCTGGTCAAAGGCCAGGAATGGTCCTGGACCGAGGAGCACCAAGCAGCATTCGACGCGATCAAGTCAGCCCTCAGTTCGCATCCAGTACTGGCGATGTACTCGACTACCCTGGATACGATCATATCTGCAGACGCCTCATCATTCGGCCTGGGAGCAGTCCTCCTCCAGGTGCAGTCTGACGGCTCCATTCGTCCAGTTGCATATCAGTCCCGTTCTCTGACACCAGCTGAGACCCGCTATTCTCAAATCGAGAAAGAGGCTCTTGCTTCTACTTGGGCATGCGATCGTTTCGAACATTTCGTACTTGGCAAGCCGTTTACGATCCAGACCGACCACAAGCCGCTCATCCCGCTTCTAGGCAGCCGTGCTCTAGACGACCTACCGCCTAGAATTGTCCGTTTCCGTCTGAGGCTCCTTCGTTTCAATTTCCGCATTGTTCACGTGCCAGGCAAGGATCTCGCCATTGCTGACGCTCTCTCCAGAGCACCTGTTTCATCAGAACAAGTCGACAGCCAAGATGTTGATCTCCTCGCAGCTGAGACAGCAGCGCTCGTCGACTACGCCGTTGATTGTCTGCCTGCAACAACTAAACGCCTCGATGACATCGCCGAGTGGCAAGAGTCTGATCAAGTGTGTGAGTCGCTTGCTCGCTACTGCGCTGACGGCTGGCCACACTCATCCGACGCTCCATCTGATGTTCGACCATACGTAGAACACCGGGCACACATCACACTTACCGATGACGGTCTGCTGCTCTACAACGACAGGTTGATCATTCCCGCATCTCATCGCGACGACATTCTGTCACGGCTCCACACTGGACACCAGGGCATCGCCAAGTGTCGCCGTCTTGCCCGCAACTCTGTCTGGTGGCCCTCCATCAATTCGGATATTCAGCTGTATGTTGCAAATTGCACGACGTGCGCCCGCATGCACACTCAACCAGCTGAACCGCTCATCCCAACAACA